GATGATGATGATGATGATTATGATGAATGATGATGTTGATGATGATGATGATGTTGATGATGATGATGAATGCCAGGACAAGGACAATGACAGTGATGGTGGTAACACATGGATCATCATCATCATCATCATCATCATTCATCATCATCATCATCATCATCATCACCAAATCACTCACCACACTTAACACCATCCATCATGATGATAAAAAAATAATAAAGAACATTAGAATAACAATTAGACCAGCAACAGATTACACCAAGTTTGAAAAAATGCTGGCTGCAGCACAGATTCTAGCCATGGTAAAGGCCTAAAAAAAGTTTGGGGTGAAGCAGCAATTTGAAATGAGTATGATGAAGTGGTAAAAGTATTAAATAATAATGATATAATAATAATAATTAATAATAATAATAATAATAATAATAATAATAATAATAATAATATAATAATAATATCAATTTTAAAAAATCCTAATTTCTGTTCTTTCTTCCATGTTTTATTTGTGAAACTGCAAGTGTGTGGCTCTGTGTGAATTTGTTAAGTGTCTGTGTGGGGCTCTGTGTGAATTTGTTAAGTGTCTGTGTGGCTCTGTGTGAATTTGTTAAGTGTCTGTGTGTGGGTGTGTCTGTGTGTGAGGGGGTATGTGTGTTGTGTGTGTGTGGTATGTGCCTTGTGTGTGGGTATGTGTCTGTGTGTGTGTGGGTATGTGCCTGTGTGTGTGGTATGTGCCTGTGTGTGTGTGGGTATGTGCCTGTGTGTGTGGGTATGTGCCTGTGTGTGTGTGGGTATGTGCCTGTGTGTGTGTAGGTATGTGTCTGTGTGTGTGGGTATGTGTCTGTGTGTGTGGGTATGTGTCTGTGTGTGTGGGTATGTGTCTGTGTGTGTGGGTATGTGTCTGCTGTGTGTGTGGGTATGTGTCTGCTGTGTGTGTGGTATGTGTCTGTCTGTGCATGGGTATGTGTCTGTCTGTGCATGGGTATGTGTCTGTCTGTGCATGGGTATGTGTCTGTCTGTGCATGGGTATGTGTCTGTCTGTGCATGGGTATGTGTCTGTCTGTGCATGGGTATGTGTCTGTCTGTGCATGGGTATGTGTCTGTCTGTGCATGGGTATGTGTCTGTCTGTGCATGGGTATGTGTCTGTGTGTGTGGTTATGTGTCTGTGTGTGTGGGTATGTGTCTGTGTGTGGGGGTATGTGTCGTATGTTGGGTATGTGTCTGTGTGTGGGTATGTGTCTGTGGGTGTGGGTATGTGTCTGTGGGTGTGGGTATGTGTCTGTGGGTGTGGGTATGTGTCTGTGGTGTGGGTATGTGTCTGTGGGTGTGGGTATGTGTCGTGGGTGTGGTATGTGTCTGTGGGTGTGGTATGTGTCTGTGGGTGTGGGTATGTGTCTGTGGGTGTGGGATGTGTCTGTGTGTGGGTATGTGTGTGTCTGTGGGTGGGGTATGTGTCTGTGGGTGTGGGTATGTGTCTGTGGGTGTGGGTGTGGGGTGGGTATGTGTCTGTGGGTGTGGGTGTGGGTATGTGTCTGTGGGTGTGGGTGGTATGTGTCTGTGGGTGTAGGTATGTGTCTGTGGGTGTGGGTATATAGTCTGTGTGTAGGTGTGTGGTCTGTGTGTAGGTGTGTGGTCTGTGCATGTGTGTGGTCTGTGCATGTGTGTGGTCTGTGCATGGGCGTGGTCTGTGCATGTGCGTGGTCTGTGCCTGACTGTGCATGTGTATGGTCTGTGCATGTGTGTGGTCTGTACATGTGTGTGGTTTGTGCCTGACTGTGCATGTGTGTGGTTTGTACCTGACTGTGCATGTGTATGGTTTGTTCCTGACTGTGTATGCGTGTGGTCTGTGCTTGACTGTGCATGTGTGTGGTCTGTGCCTGACTGTACAAGTGTGTGGTCTGTGCCTGACTGTGCAGGTGTGTGGTCTGTGCCTGACTGTGCAGGTGTGTGGTCTGTGCCTGACTGTGCAGGTGTGTGGTCTGTGCCTGACTGTGCAGGTGCGTGGTCCTGTGCCTGACTGTGCAGGTGTGTGGTCTGTGCTGACTGTGCAGGTGTGTGGTCTGTGCCTGACTGTGCAGGTGTGTGGTCTGTGCCTGACTGTGCAAGTGTGTGGTCTGTGCCTGACTGTGCAAGTGTGTGGTCTGTGCCTGACTGTGCAAGTGTGTGGTCTGTGCCTGACTGTGCAAGTGTGTGGTCTGTGCCTGACTGTGCAAGTGTGTGGTCTGTGCCTGACTGTGCAAGTGTGTGGTCTGTTCCTGACTGTGCAAGTGTGTGGTCTGTGCCTGACTGTGCAGGTGTGTGGTCTGTGCCTGACTGTGCAGGTGTGTGGTCTGTGCCTGACTGTGCAAGTGTGTGGTCTGTGCCTGACTGTGCATGTGAATTTGTGAATGTGTGTTTTACATATCTGAGTATGTTTATGCATCTCTGTGTTTTATGGGTATGTCTGTGAATGTTATGTGTTTGTTGTATTACATATCTGAGCATGCTTGTGTTTCCGTTGTGTATACATGTCTGAGCATGTTTAATAATTTGAGAGAGAAGATAAAATACATAAATTCAAAAATAAATTAAGAACCACTGACACATGAAGAGCAAGCGCCGTCGCAGAGGCAAACGAGCTCACTTACTCTTTCTATCGCTCCAGGAGTAACTCGCCCTTTTTGTTCTTCTGGCAGGGCACTCGGCACCTTGGACCCATTCACACTCTGGGCCTGATTAAATACAAAAATCACATTCTGTACTATTCTGTTACTGCAGCCTCCCTCAACACCTTGTTATATGCACTTCTAGCCAACACATCACACTTCTAGGAATACTGAAATAATCCTTTACCCTATCCTAAGCAAAACCCTATCGTCTGTTCATTTATGTCCAGCACAGTTATGAAACCTAAATGTACAACCTAATTGTATGACATTCTGAGACCTGCTTATGTAAAAGTATGTGAACTTTCCTTTTTTCTTTATTTAATTCTTTTGTTAAATCTTAAGAATGCTTTTGGTATATGATTTTAATAAAGGTTGAACAGTCTGTATACAAATATTTCCAAACTAACGAACTATATTCTAGCTAAGAACTTAAAACCTACAATCTCTCTTTTCATCATGCTGATCTACATTCATACTAGTTATACATAATGCTGTTCACAGCTAATAAACGAGAAAATAAAAAATAACAAATATATGTTTGAGCATTATGACATACTCTTGAGGATAAATTTAAAATATCAAATGAATGTTGCAAATACTGCCAAACATAGGTTAATATTTCTTCTGACAATTTACAGACATAAAACATAGACCTTTCTACTTGTAGAATAGTCACAGAGACATCTGAACAAATAAAAATACATATACGACAATAAATGGATTCAACTTTTTATACTCACAAAACACATTCAAGAGACATGACAAAAACTGATACACAGAAGGCATAAAAATGTGAAATTTGTGCATTATAAAAACTAAATTACATACTCGCAGCAAGGTCTTCTTACCTCCTTGACAATGATGTGGTTAAAGAGAGGCCCAAAGAGAGTTGAGGAATGGAAAAGTATTTGTAGGTCGTTTTAAACCTGTCTGTGATGTACTCGAACACAGGGTTTCCACTCACAGTCCGTGTAAGGTTTCTCTTCTGTAAAAATGGATCTGGAAAGGAAAAAGTGCGAATGTGTAAAAAAATAAAACATAAAAGAGCTATGGCTCTGCTCTATATAACTGGATGGATAACGATCATACAACAATATCCAGCTAATCAATTTGAAACAATTTTATTTGCAGAAACCGTCTTTGCATAATGGTAATCATACATTATGTAGCAGAGTATATATGTAGAAATTATGACATCAATAGTACCTTGCCTGGAGTTTTTTTTTCTTTCTTTCTTTCTTTTTTTTCCACACCCTACATGCATCAATTCAGAATAAAAAATCAGGATTTTTTAGCATATCAAAAATATATAAATCAAATACACACCTTCCACAGTTATCTTTTTACTCCATGTTTTCTCTGCTCTGGGCATGGGCTGCAGCTGTCTCACATTGATGACAAGGTCTGTCATCTTGAAGCCAATGGTATAGAAACGGAACATGTCAAGCCATAGCCTACCCACACTCTGAGTATTTTGGCACTGCCACTTATCACCAAGTTTTGATGGACCTGAAATCAAACCAAATAAAACCACATAAAGATGCAAATTAACATTTCATTTACACTGAAATTCCAAACAGAAAAAATCTAGTGGGTGTTTCCATAATAAGCAAAGCCTTAAAGTACACTCACGTAAATAAACATCCCCGTCAGGTTTTGGGTGCAAGCTATGTAAAACTGGCAAGACTGGAGGGTTGTGTTGCTGAAGAAAATGTACAACCATCAATGGGAAAACATGTGGTGGGAGAGTTCCACGTGACTGGTCATCCATCTGGCAGAGCTGTTGGACAGAAATGGATACCATCAAAATAAGCATTTTTTCAAACTAGGTAGTAAATTTTTTTTATAAAAAATGGAAGATAACAGACCTGTGAAACTAAAGCAAATAGGGGAGAACAAAAAATTAAAAAATCTCCAGAGAAGAACAGAGAAACACATAGTTCAAAAACAGGATAGTAGGTCAACCAATAAGATCTATAACAAGAACTGAAACACTACCTTTGCCCAATATCTGAGCGCAATTCCCAGGGTAAGTACTCTGGGGTCGATCACAGCATAGTCAGCTAAGAGTTGGTTGGTGTGCTTGGGAGAGGTGCTGCCTGCGCCCACCACCATCCTCAAGCCGGTGTTTGCATGGGTGAAGGCCATTGTCGGGAATGATGATGTTAGATCATCTAAAACATCTCTGTGGTAAGGAACACAATTTTAAAAATCAAATAGAAAAAAATGTAGGACTAACAATCTCCCTATCATTTTCTCTCCCATTATTCAACAACAAAAATATTAAAATCACAACTAACATATCTTTTAATACTTACGTGTACAAGTCATTTTTTCGAACCAACTCCCTCACTGCCAATAGGGCAATGGAAGGATTAAGGTTCTCGTCCATTACTACATCTATGTTGATATCACTTGTTTTCATGCAGAACCCACTCACAGATGATCCCACCATCTCTAATCTGCACCCTGTATAAAGCAAGGTATATGTATCAATTATCAAAACATCTAATGACACCATTTTGCTGTACACAGTAGTATTTGTTATATTATACATAATTATAACATTATACATTACTATATACAATACATAAATAACCCATCTCTGCTTTGAATATCAGATATCCTTTTTACTCTTATTTTACTTATCCATGCAATGTCCTAAAAATTGGACAGTAACACTAATAACACCCAAAAGTCACACACAGAAAAAGAGATTCCAGGGGCGAGAAACTCACCTTCCACTTTGGCCGCGAGCAATTTATTAAGTTCCTTCACGACCTCTTTTCTGGTGCGCATCATATCTGGGGTAACTTTCACCTCTTCTACTATCTCCAAGATCAACTTTTCCACAGCAGCAACCTGTGCTTCAATTGGAGATGGCACATTCTTCAGAGTAGTCTCCACGTCTTTAGCCTGCAATGGCATAGCATTCACATTATCATAAATGGTTGGCACATGCAAATTAAACACTTTAAATCAAGTGGCCTTTACCCTACAACACTGGTTTTTATCCACTCCAATGCATAGGCCAGATGCCAATAAAATGAGACGATTAACAAAGTGCAGGCTCAAATATATGTGGCATTGATACTTTCCACCTGACATATGGACTATGTATAATGGCCAAAACAGGTGTCATTTAGCATGAATTGGTTATAATCAGAGAGAAAATATAATTGCTTACAATCAAAATCATTTTTTTCTCATTACAATATACAAAATTTATCTAAAAAATGAAGCATAACAGGACTATTTTGTTCACTCCACTACCACATGTTACCTAAAACTCTATAATAAATAAAAGTAAATAAGACAAAGTCATTATATATAACAGTAGCTTTCAATTCAAATATTACAGCAGTTCTTTTCAAGTTTTCAATTTATCCAGTCAAAAAATGCATAGATAATAAGTAAACATCAATACTTGTTTAATATTTTTTCTGATGTCATAAAAGGAAGTAATTCCAAGCCTTCATAAAAAGGAAATGATATTATTTCACATCCACCATCTTCACTTTCTCCTTGTAGTATTTGCCGTGATATAACCCGATGGCATGGGTACAGTTATAGCCGTAATGATTTCTTCTGACCTTAGGGCCAATGATAGCTTTCCAAATTTTCATGCTGGGAGGATATCATGGTGCAGGAGCTTCAGGCTGCAATTCCTGAATGAATTACAGCCCAAGTCTTACATGAAGAACTACTGGTCTAACAACCCTCTGATGACACCAGTAATTTTCCAGCAGACTATGTTGCAAAATCCACACTCCACTTTGCAGCAATGAGGCTAATCATCCTGCTAATGATTTGTTATGGAAGTTGTAGCTAGTCATTGATGTGATGAACAGACAATTTTCCATCACCTTTGTCCCTTATAAGCTGATATCCATGGATTAAAGCATGTGGATCTTTAGGGGACACATCCAGCTCTGTAATATGTTCCCAGTAAATGAGCTAGGCAGGGTTTCAAGGTATATATTAATTCTATTTGGGTGATGGACCATTTTAGCTTATGAAAATGCTAAACTTGACGTTTGTCTCTAATATAATAATCTTCCATGTACTCCCATGGCTAAACAAGGGGCGTAAAATTGGAGTTTAGGCTCTGATTGGGTTAACCACAGTGTGTGGTGCTCCAAGAGACCCGCTGTAAAAGGGCAGAAACATAACATGAAAAAGGGCTCTCTACAGCTGTCAGCAACTAAAAGCAGAATAAAACGTTGGCCCTTTTGATATGATAGGCCTACATTTTATATCCCTATTTTCAGAACACATAGCTAAATTTTTATTGCATAAGCACAATATTGTAGAACTTACCCAATTAACAAATTTTGAAATCATCTGTCTTTCCAAGGCTTGAAACACAGCTATTTTCTTATTAATATATATTTTTTATTAATCTTTCTGAGGAATTACTTCAGTCTAGGGCAGTGCTGTCCAAACATTTTCACCTACTGTATCCTTTATTACCTTCTTCTACTGTTACGTACCTTGCCCACCATGGCTAAACAAACTGATTTATTTAAAATAATGCAAATAATATACTAATTATGAAAAGACTGCATTGCAGGAGTGTTAGTCAATAAATGATGATCCATAGAAATGTGATATATAATGTGTGTGTGTGTGTGTGTGTGTGTGTGTGTGTGGTGTGTGTGTGTGTGTGTGTGTGTGTGGTGTGTGTGTGTGTGTGTGTGTGTGTGTGTGTGTGTTTTTCCTTGTTTGTTCACGTACCCTTATGATCTATGTTGCGTACCCCCAGGGTATGCGGACCCCAGTTTGGACAACACTGGTCTAGGGAATACAAAATTAGCACACTGTCCATCAATAGCATCAAGGTTTCTAAATATAAAACAGCCAGCATTACTATTCAGCAATAAAATGTAAATTACTAAAGGAAAATAAATATCATATCTGACTTATTCCCATCTAACTGTTCTATATTTTCAAAATCGAAACTATAATTTCTAACCATATTTTTTGACAATAAAAGCCTCACTGAGAAAATGTCATTGTTTTAGCCATACTTCAATTGTCAATATGAAAATGATTATCATTGTCACTACTAACCTCTTTGAGTTTCCTGTGCCTTGCATCTGCAATATGTCTCCTGCACACAATCAAAGAATCACAGTGGTAATCACATAATCTGCAGAAGTATTTGGCCTTTGGAAATCTGATCGATTTCTGTAGGGGAAAAATAAAGTACTATCAGTAACACCAACGGAGTTCATGCTAAGTGATGGGTGCAACTTGTTAACCCATTGCCGACAGGTAAAAATGTTTGGCAAGTGGACATATGGACAGGCTTGTTGGCACGCATCGGCAGTTTCCCGTTTGCATCCGGCTCGATCGGTATTTTGCGAGCGACATTTAGTGCTAAAAAAGCTTTTATTTTGCTAAAATTTATAAAAATATTAAAATTTTGAAGGTTTACCTTCACTTTAGGTGCCATTGCCTAAACTCTTTACCATATAAATAAAGCCACTACTATCGGAGAAAATCAACCTCCGTCCGACGAGCCAGTGCGCAGGAATGGGCATGACATGATGCCCCCCGGTGTTCGGTCCACAACAGCCATGGCATGTACGTACATGCCATCTGCGGCAACGGGTTAATCGTGTTACCTTATGTACAAAGGCAGATATGGCATTTGGTTGAATTCAGAGTGTGTATACCTCTGCCGAGGCAATAGGGTCACTGATGCAATAAAAATATTCACACGAAGAATTAAAATCACCTTCCCTAAGTGCACTGGTGATGTCTGTAAACATAACCTCCTTGGAGCAGGTAATAAAGCTAATGATGATAATTATAGTTACGCCTATTGCCAAAGTAATAGGTGTAACTGATGCAATCTTTAAAAAATTCCTGGATCCATATCATGATCCAGACCACCACCAATAGGTTAGGTTAGTAAAAAATAAAAATCATTTCATAACTTTTTGAGCTAACCTGCCTACAAACTAACCAATCCTACCAAAAACATAACCTCCTTGGTAGAGGTAATCATCATTACTGAAGCAATCAAATATCAATCTCAAACAACATCATCTGCTTTAAAACTATGCCAAGTTTCATACTTTCTCTTTAATTTCACAATGACTATTACTATACATATGAGTTTGCCATATCTTCACAGTGCAAAACCAGTACAGGAATTAACCTTTCCTGTCACATAATGCAACAAATAGGCTGAGTTAGCCAGCAAATCCACCGTCTTCTATCTGATGTTGACCTAGTGGCTTGGAAGTCTTGCAGGTCTCAGGGCAAGTGAATAAAAACTAATTTCTTCAGTACCATTCTATATGCACACTAGCCTCATCCTGACTAGCCACTTATTGCCTGCCATTATGCCAGGCAGCTTAAGCTGGGGTTCCACCAGCCTTACCTGACTCTAAGACCTAACAGAAGACTGCAACTATCACTGTTTTGGCCAGGGAAACTATCTTCAGAAATAGATGAACCAGACTTAGATCATCCTTCACCTATATTCTTTAAATTTTTACAGGCATTTCTGTTGTACAGTTAACCCCTACCATCCAGATGATATTAAAGTCCCATCATGGAAAAATCAGGGTCGAGTGCTGGGTGACATGAACATGTCATCGGACAAAATGGCCTCAGGCTAGATGAAGCAAACTTGTCATCATGAGTAAAGACCAGGTGATGGAAAAGACGAGTGCAGAAACCTCCTGAGGCGTGATTTGATTCCTTTAGCACTCAGAAGGGGGCTTTGGTATTATTACTATTGATAAACGAATGTGGAATGTAAGGTGCATTAGCAGTGACTGGAAGATCATCGACTCCAGGAGGATTACCATTTCCATGCTGTGCATTGTATTTCTGGCTGTGTGACCGGCAGCACAGGTTGTAATACTAAAATCTTAAAATTACGAAAAAATAACGTATATGACTCAAACTTTTTTTTTTCTTTTTTTACGCCAAGATATTTACTACGTTTCCATGTTTTTCTCGTTATCGCTTGTATTTTTGGTGAATACGATAAATTCCAGTCAAACGATAATTATCGTTTTCGCTGGCAATTTTCCGTCGTCTTTTTCGTTCAAATGATAAGCTGTAATAGATAATCATTATGTAATGTAAAGAAAAAGTATTTATAATATAAAACGATTCAAAAAGACAGTCTAAACTGTAAACAATATTTTTAAATTGGCAAAATTCTCTCTTGTATTTCATAAAAACAGATACAAGTTTGTAACTAGCTGCTCGCCTGTTTGTTTAATTCATCCCCGTCAGCTGACTAGATGAGAGTAGCAAGAATATGCCCTTATTTAACCTTATACATTTGTTGTTTTGCATTAAATCGTCTCCACATAGCCAGAATAATGTC